CCGGCCTTGTGGAGGGCACCTATACTCCCAGCTACTCGGGAGGCTGAGGCAAGGGGATTGCTTGAACCTAAGAGTTTGAGGTTGCTGTGACACCATAACAATCTACCTAGGGCTACAAGGTGAGACTCTATCTCATAAAAAAAAAAAAAAAAAAAATCAGTCTGTGTCATAACTGAGCCTAGACATACGTAAAGCTCTAAAACCAAGTATCCCTTTGTGCAGTCTATCTCGTGGTACAACAGTGACCAGTGCTGTGGGCTTGGGCAGACATTGCACAAGAACTTTACCCAAAATAAAGTAGGGCCAGATATCAGTTCACCCAAATATCATTAGCACCAAGAACTCTTATTCAAACAACAGCATGCATGTCAGCTGAAGGCTCATGAAAGGCACCCAGGGGCCTTCCGAACCTGCTTCATAACCGGTTCCATTTCTTCTTTCTCTATAAGAATAGACTTGAAATGTCAGGGAAGGCCAATCCCTGTAAGAAAAAAGTAAAGACATTTCCCTCAGAGGAGAAATTTATTATCTGAGAATGCATGATTAGGTTATAAGGACACATACAAACAGTAAACCAATTACCTGTATATATTGTTAGAGGTTCTTTGTTCTTCTCTAAACCTAATGGGGCCAGGTGGCCTGCTGAGAGCTAGCTGTGCTAGCACCACTGGAATAGAGGTCAGATGCAGGCCCCAAGAAACCATCTGAACGAACTGGTGTGCGTTACTCTTCCAGGCTACATCAAGTACCTGTGTCTCCTCACGTTTGCTCAGAAATGACTTCAATAATCCCAACAGGAAGGGACAGTTTGCTAAATCTTCTTACAGCACTAATCCTTCTGTTTTTTGAGCTTCATCAAATGTCTATTTGTTTTTAATTGAACATTAGCAATTTCTTCCCAATATAAGTCTATGAAAGAAAATTGAGTGATCAAGGCTATGTCTATATTTCATCATTGTGGCTACAAACCCCCAAATGGAAATGGCTTAGGTTAATATGTGTTCATAATGCTGTGCCATTCCCTGATTAAATTATTTATACTCACTGCAAATGAAAACATAAATATTCACACTTCTCTTTAAAAGACTAAGTGGGAAAGCACTTTTAAGATTTTAAATGCAAAGACAGAGGACCTGCTGAGAGAGAAAAACTTACAGTTCAATATTACTGTAATGGTTTGGAGGGGGGGGATGGCCTCTTTGGGGGAAATATAATCCAATATAGGAAACAAAAAGAGATCACAGATTATTACACATGACAATTAAAAATACAGTGACTTTATTTCCACTTCCCATTATTTCAGAACCAAAATCTTTATAAACACAAAAATATTTCAGTACACATAGGTAAAAGTTTGGCAGAATTTTATCAATTTTAGTAGTCTATACCCCAATAAAACGAATTTTAAAATTTAAAAATAACCACTTTATTTAACATGTTACACC